CTCGGCCTCCCTCCCTCCGTCGCCGTGTTGCGCCCCTCGGCAGTGTTTTCTGAGGGGGTGTCTTGAGCCATGAGGCGGTAAAAGGGGAGGAATCGGGGGAAGGGACGGGACCCGGGCACCAGTCACCCGCGCTCCGCTGTGGTGGTTTGTGGGGAAAGGAGCTCCGAAAGGAGCGGGCACAACAATGCTGTATAAACCCTGATCACGTATCCCAGTTCAAGCCTTGTCCCCCCTTTTAAAGGCTGTGGTTTTGCCTAAAAAGCTGCAGCTGCTTTGAAACGAATACGTTTTCCTTGGGGAAATGTATTTTATGTTTGTGTAATTCCCACGTAACGTTACTGGGTGCAGGGTAGTAGTAGCCTTGTTATGTTTGTTTTGCTATGGAGAATGTTGCAAGGGCTTAAAAAGCTATGACTTAAGCAAGTTCAAGCATTTGTATTTACCGTGGGTGAAAAGTGTTTTCTTCTGCCCCCTTCCCCTGGAGATGTTGGCATTTACACTGACAGCAAAATAAAAGAATTACTGCCCAGACTGTTTTTCCCTCCCTCACCAAGTATGATGGTAAAACAATGGTATTAAGACTTAAAAGGCATACTCTTGTGAATTATAAAGACCTGTAGCGATAAAAGCTTTAGCTTTAAAGGAAATTCCACTATGCTGTACAATGCTGGAGGTGGTCAGTTTTGCTAATAGGCCACAGTGTCTGGATGTCTCTTGCAAAGTTTAGTTTGATTCCTGTACAATTCCTTCAGGGGCTGGTGTTTTTTAGCCTTAGTTTCAGCTTAGAAATACTTGTGGTAAGAAAAAAAGTCACATCTGATGAGTATCTTAATTGTGTGCGATAAAAAGTGTTCAGGAAGAAAAGGGGGAAGAAACAAAACAAGTGGTTTGAAATAATACTTAGGGGTTTTAAAGTAATTTTAAACAAATTTGTTACCCAACTAATGTTTCCATTATTCTTTATGACATATTTGAAAAGATGTTGTTTCTAAAGATGACGTACGTTTATGTTTGATGTCATTCTTTGATGTTACTTCTCCAAAGGGGATGCCTGAAACCTGTCTTGTAACATTTGATGACATTCACAAATCTGTTGTCAGCTGTTCTTGCCTTTGAAGGATGTGGAGTTCATTTGTATCCTGATCTGTTCTGAAATTGGGTTCCTCAGCTGTCATCTGATTGCTAAAAATGTCTCCTCCCTTCTTAGGTTCGTGGTGCCATGGCGCTGAGTACGCTTGGAGGGAGGCTGCAAAAACTGGCAGATAACCAAAGGTAGTACCAGATGTGCATAAGTGAACTAAGACTAAGGCGAATCCAGTTGTGTTTTCTGGAGGTAGATACTGGTTTTGTCAGTAATTAGGCAACTTATCAAGTTGCTTGTCTGACAGTATCACTTTCTGAGACAAAGGAAAAGTACTCTTTAAAGTCTTTAGATGGTTTATTTGTCAATGCAGCAGTTAGATTCCATTGTATAAAAGTAAAGATGTCTGAAATGGAAGTTACAGCTGAAAAGGTAAAATCAAATCATACAATTTTAATATTCTGACATGATATTTAAAGGAAGATAGTCAAGCTATTCTGTATACTTATGTTAAAGGATAAAAAAAGTTCTTAAAATATGCCCAAGAGTTTGTTTCTGTGCAAAAGCCTAAGATATCTCTGAGCTTCTAACATGCAGTGCTTTGCTGAAACCAGATGCTTTCTGCATATAACCTTGGTCAGTGGTAGCCTGCATTGTCACTGATCACAAGCATGATAGCTGTGACAGACCTTATTTTTTCATGCCACATTACAAGTCATCTTAAGCTTTTGACTAAACCTCTGTCCTGCCTCAAGCCTGGGCAACAAATACAAATTGCAGTTCTTCCTGCCAGCAGTCTGACTGATAACAGAGGACATAACATTCAGATGGTAAATTTTGCAGGAAATGTGTTTCCTGTTTAAGTCAGAGAATAGTTTTATATGCTCAGTGATGGTTGGATAATAGGATGTTACATCTAAGGAAGATGGAACAGTGGCAAATATGATGCTTTGAATAATATAACTGAAATGGCCACAAAAGAGTTCGACAACCTGGAAACAAAAGAATAAAAGAGGCCATTGAATTTTATAACTAAAGAGCTAATCTCACAGGTATGTCACAATCTGCATTTTTTATGTCCTCAAGTCATTTCCAGATGTCCACACACACTGTGGAAGTGGTAGCGAAGACTACATTCAGATTGTGAATGATGAGCATTTGACAGGTCTGCTAAGATACCAGGAAAACATGTTTACGCTTATACATTGCATCAGGAACTGAGAACTATGTATCAGAGATGTTCGAATACATGGTAAATAAGCTAAATATATTAAAATACAGATCTTCAAAGAATTCAGTGCTTGGAAATGGATTGCGTAAAGTCATTTGCCCAGCCCCCAGTTGAA